GCCGGCGACGGGAGGGAGGTTCGCAGGTAGGAGCGAAGGTGGCGTTGGGAATGAGCATCACTCCAAAGGCGCGGCTTTGTTAGTCCACCACAAATGGCCACCCTGTTCCTTCGTCTTCCTCACCAGGCCGAACACGACGAAACCCAATCGCAATTCGGCTTCCCTTCAACAGTGGCAGTTTTAGTTTAAATAAAGGACAAACAAATATATATAACCAAAAACACGTCAACAACATGCCACCCTTGTACGTGAGTACCTGTAAGTGTATCTTTTGTGGTTCCACGTAGTAATATAAGCATAAGGACTAGTGGCTGATATTGTTAAAACTGGGTGACTAATTAAATCATCCACTGTATCGATTTAAGGCCAGCCATCAGGATTAGACCAAGCTCCTTTGCTGAGGCTTGTTTCCTTTCCCTGAAGAGATGTTGGGATTTGCTCCTGCTAATTGATTTACCCACCCCAAGTCCCGTTTTTAGGTCAACTGCCCTCAATGGTGTTAGAAATTATGATTGGCGTGAAGCTCTTTGCCATACAATGAAACAGGAAAGCACCCCATACAAGAACACTATATCCGTGTCCTGATCAAAGTAAAACAATCACCATGTCTTCATTTGCATGGCCGCAGTTATAAATCTTAACATTTTTTCCTCAACAGAAAGTATTTTACTAAGTAATGAGAAATCTGACTGCAACAAGATGTGTTTTTCGTGTAAAATCTGCAAGATAGTGTTTGATTCTGCATGAGGAAACACACCAAAAGTGAAAAGTACCTGACACCAGCGTCCTTCCGCAGGACTGTTTCACCAGGTGTCACCTATATTCTTCACGTTCTGCTTACGTCCATTATAGGCGTGAAACCACAACATACATATGATGAATTACTCACAACTACAATTAAAAATTAAGGTATTAGGAATACAGGAACGTCTATTGTTTTGTTATTATGCTCTTTACATCCGTGTAGACAGAAGATCTGTGGAGAGGCGGTCTCGTACTCTCGGCTACGTAGATTCTTGGGGATTCACAAGGACGTGTGGCCAACGTACCACCGTAAATGCTGGTTATCGTTCAGGCCGCCCTTAGAATCTGAATAACTGGAAAGACGTCAAAAAGAAGTAGAATACCAAATACACAAGTAAGAACCTGTGCACTCATTAACAAATAACCGGTGCGATTTCTCTTCTAGATAATGGCCAGAGACGACAGTTAATACATGATAATATCACACTTGTAAAACTACCGGCGTACAGTCACAAGGTCAATATGCAAGCGATAGACAACGTCTAATGAGATAAAGGAGGAGAACGAAGCTGAATCAAGACTGTACAGATGAACCCCCGTGTAGCAAACCGCTGGAACCAACTCAGACTAACAGCCCGAATACATAGCCCGTAGGCAGTACGGCGTGCTTTGACCTCTCATCCACATTATCCACCGGCCTACATTTAAACAGAGCGCTCTAACTCCGGGCGGCCTCTTCAAATGTACACGGAGGAACGCCGATACAGCGGGAATGTCCTGCCTCCTTCGTCGTGGAGAGAAGACTGCTTCACGTTCATTTTTCTACCTGCTACCTGCTAGCTACCTGGTTTACAGGAGGTGCAGGAGCGCCTGAACCTCATCACAGCCGGCAGATTATGACTCATAATCCAATGAATGAGAAACTGACTTCAGGAACTTTAAGTGACCTTTCAAATATGGCTGACAGAACGACCGTTTGGTTGCATCCTTCAGCGGAAGACAAACCCTCAGAGAGCCTTTTAATGCAACGTCATTATTGCTTACAGAGAAAAAAGAAAAAACTTTTTTTCCCCCGTGTACATAGACACACAGTGCAGATTCATGGAGGGCCCTATAGTTAAGACGGTGAGAATGGGAGAGCAGAGCTTCAACTTCTGCTTGCTTATCGTTGTCGGAGGGGGGAGGGAAACATCCGACTCAGAGGAACCTTTTTAGTGCAAGCAGAGCGAGAGTGAGGGAGGAAGTGTGGGGGGGTTTCTCGAGCTTAGGTTGAAGTTTTTACCACAGAGAATGATGTTTTTTTTAATTTTTATTGCTCATACAGCGACAACTTCTGGCGATCTGCGATATGATGAGTAACACTGTATTTACTAATTCACAGGATTTTTGGTGAAATCAACCCGTGGGATCCTTGTCATCGAGCACTACGTTTTACTACGGTTACGTCTCTCCCGGGTGCGACCTGCTGTGAAACAAATCAACGGTGAATCACAGAACGCTAACGGCTGCTCTGAGGTGCGGTCATGAATACGACGTGCGTCAGTTTTCCTGCAGCTGCAACCAACAAATCACAAAATGTATCTCGAGTATCTTGTTATAATGACGAAGCATCCCATCGTCGGTGTTGAGAGGAATTTCTCGACAGCTATAGACCTTTTTCACAGGAGCCATTTTGACAAGAAATAGTAAACACAGGAGTTACCATTTAAGATTCGGGTCAAAATGCTGCGACCGCCATGTTTGTGCCCAAACAGTGAACGTTTGTTGAATCAGGAGTTGAAAATAAAATTTTAAAGATAGTTAAAAGCTACATAAAGCCTGTGTAGTCAAATCTTAAGTTGGCTAGTGTTAACAAAAACTAGCTAACTAATCTATATCAATCATCAGATTGATCTAAAATAAAGAAAGATTCAGCAACTGCACAACGTATTTCTGTCTTAAAATGTTTTTAGAAAAGCATTTCGGGGAACTATTTTCGTAGTATTGGAGAAAGTTTCCAAACAAGTCGCCATGTTGGTCCCCTAGCAGCGAGCGTTTGTCAAATGAAGTGTTTCGTAGCATAATTAAGAAAAGGAAAGGAGAAAGTTGACAGAGGAAGGATCAATTTGTGTCAATGGTAACACCTTGGTTTACCCTACTATTTCTTGGCAAAATGGCTGCTGTGAAAAAGGTCTGTCTGGTGGATTGCCATGAAGTTCGTGTTCCCCTCAAGATGAACTGTATTAACTTTGGGGATGAAGTTTATTTTATTTGTCCGTTACCTTAACTGTAAAACTTTGTCAATTTAACAAGATCCTGAGAAAATTTCTTTGTTTACTACCCTGCGTGATCCGTGTAAACAATCTAATCCATTACCTATAAGCAAACAGTGAGACCCAAACTCCGTTTTACCCAAACGCCACAGCTACTCACGTGCTCCTCCTCCTCTCTATTCAACACCATGCTTATCATCTAACACCTGCAGAGCTTGAACGAAAACCTATGAACTACTGATATAATCTGATAGGCAAGATGTTGTTTGTTTTAAGGCTGGTACTGATAAAACATTTTAAATCAAAGCTGCAGATTGGAGATGAAGTATTTGAAGCTGATAATTAACATCTTTTACGTATGTTTTCCCCCCAGATTTGTCGTTCATGTCAGGGTAACGAAAAGCAGCAGCTAGGCCGTGATAGGACGCTATGAAAGCCGGACCAGTTCAACACCTTTATATACTTGAAGGCAGGACTTTAAGGACTGATGCCTCTCAAGCGGGTTCATCACATCCTCACATCAACCTCAGTCCGGTGGTGCGATTTTTCCAACATTTGACTGTTTTAAACGTCAACATCTGACCCAACAGTCGGGCCTCGTGGAGCATGGATTAAAACCACTGATTTACAAGACAGAATTATTATATGTACACTCCTCCAGCACTCGCTCAACTCACAATTATTACTCGTAATATACATACGCATCCGTGCCTAAGTGATATTTAAAATGACTGTGACTTCCTTTTTGTTTGCCGATGACTTCGCCCGTCTTCGACCACTTCTGGAGACTGTAGTGATACTTCCACAAAGAGATCCAGTGGCTTCAGTTTGTTGAGTTATCTCGACAGTACATTCCTCATAGATTGATTGATTGATTGATTGATGCTCCCCCGGAAAGAAGAATCTCCGCAAAGAAACACCACCTCATGTCGACCCACTTCAGAGTCTCCGAGGACCTTCTGGGACATGAGGTACATTCTGCTCCACTGACAGTCTGATGCTCTTCACTAGTCAGTCCGCGGGAGGGTTTAAATGAGTCCAAGGTGATGGCCCTCTTATGTCCGGGATGACTTAAACCAGCCCCTATTGTCTGATGAACCACCTGGTTTTGATCGGACACCTTCCGGGTGTTTCATCAGGTTGGCGACTGGGCCAGGAGAGTGGAGGCACGATTTACAGAACCTGGTCAATAACTAACATCCAGACATTTGGAAAAATTCACTGCATCAAACAAAGAATGGGGGAATGACGATGGTAGGGAATGTTTGGGAATAATTAATGTGTCCTAATGACTGTTTGGTAAGCCCCAACCCTCCAAACAGTAGTTGTCCAATCAAAGCTAGGCACGGCAGGTCTGCCAAATCTTTAAATTTTTTAAACAACAAAACCGTTAAACATAAACAGTTTCAGGGGTTTTTTTAGCCTTTAGGGCTGCACAAATTAAATAATATAACAATAACCAAAATGCAGAAGCTGATAATAAAGATAATGAAGTAAAATAGTTTTGCAAAGAACCCTATAAATCTACAAATCTTTCAGTATAGACCTCAACATCACATCATCAAGTATCGTGAATCATATCACAATATCTGTCAAAATAATCACAATATTATTATTTTTTTTAACATATTGTGCCGCCCTGTTTCCAAAACACAAGAGAGAAGCGTAAGAAATGGATTAAAAAGTTAGCATGTACGGCTAACTGGCCTACTACTACCTACAGTTGTGACATCAATCTAACGTTACTTACAAAGTCAATCAGAATATCATTAGTTAGCTAACTTTATTATTTTGTGGGGCTACAACAGGTTATGTTAAAAAGGGACTGGGGCATCTACTGTGACATATTTACCGTAACGTGTGGTAGCCGGTACTGGATGCTAATAGCTAATAGCTAACGTTTACACTCCAGCAATCACAGCCCAGTCTTAACTTTGATAGCATTACATTTGCCAAACACCTCGGTTAGTCCTCAACCTCAACCCTTTTCTCTTGTAATGTTAAAAATTAAAGCATAAATCACCTAATCTCTGTGTTGCTTGTACATTATTCCGTTAGCATCAAAACAGGGTTATGTCAGAAGAAAATTATTGTCTTTTTGCTTGGGACTTTAGCCTCAGTCTTTTAGCATTGTGCCATGTACAGTACGTAGCCGTCAAAGGCAAAGAATACTTATTTCAGAATCAACTGGACGCAAAGCTACACATGGAGCTGATGCTAATTAGGTAGCTAAATAGGTTAAAATAAGCTAGCAACGGTTGTTATTGTAGCTAAAATCTGACATCGCCGGCCTGAAATCAAAGATCCATTTGGTTGAAAAATTGCAAAGAATTTTCGAGGTGTGAATTTGCCACCGTTATAATTTTGTGCCATGCGAGAGCGGACGGTCTGACAAGTGTAACAACAGTAACCAAAGGGGGGCGGGGCTTAGAGAACAGTCAGTTGCCGCCATAGCAAATAAAATATAAAGCAGTAAAAGGCAACCAAAGGATTTTAAGCATGTTAATGAGAACGGGGGCCGTTTTTAGTACTTTGAAAGTGAATATGAATGTTAGGAACTTAGGGGGGGAACGTGGGTCAGGGTTTACCTATGATTTCATAGCCATTGTGTGGTATAGTTAAGTTTATAGTCATCAAGTATGGTTAGATACAGTAATGATATTGTGTGTATTCGCGAGAAGGTTACACATTTATAGTCTTTCTGGAGATCAGTCTCACCGAGTTAACTGGTTATGGGTGCTATTACAAGATTATTTGATGATTACATATGTTTTAATTGTGATTATGAATTAGCATTAAATAGGAACTCTACATAATGGACCACCTACCGTATTTGGTGTTATAGATATATGAAACCAGTGAATATCAATGGCAAACTGGCTTTTATGGCTCAGCCAGATGTCAGTGCAGTCTTGTGAATTGTGGCATACACGACGTGCTAACATAACTCAAGTGCAGTACTGTGTCATATAGCAGAGAGGGGGCACTCCATTGAAGAATCTAGATCTAGATCAGAGAAAGATCCAGTTATAAGGACGCTGTGGGGCCATGGGAGCCGGCCTCAGTGATTACACTGGCAGCAGGAGCTATCTTGCAGTTGGTGATGACTGAGACGTTTGCTGTCTAATAAGCTACTGTAACGGATGGGCTGTTAACACCACAACTTTATTTACAGATAGAAATACTTTGCTCTCCTACCTCAAGGTACCGAGGCACATACACGTGGAGATTATCCTCAGGTTCTCTGAAGGACTGTGAATCTTAAAAGGACATTTTGGGAAATGTGCTTATTCACTTTCTTCATAAAAAACGTTTGATACCACTCTCAGGTCTGTGCGCTAAACTGGAAGCTATTGTACAGGCAGCAGCCAGTTAGCTTAGCTTAGCATAAAGACTGGAGAGAGGGCTGTCCAAAGGTGACAAAATCCTACCAGCATCTTATTAACACAGTTGTTTGATCCGTGCCAAACAAATGTAAGATTGTTGGCTAATTTTGTTTTCTTTACATTTGGACGTAGCCAAGCTAGCGGTTTTCCTGCGCTGCAAGTCTTTAGACTTGAAGACAACTGTAACTATGCACCTCCAGGATTTCGCAGGGTTACGAGGTTAAATGTGAGACATTTGCATTGTACATCGTCTGCATCTTAACAACTAGAAACAAGGAAGTGAGTTTGGCGCTTAGGGCAGGAAACCACAATGATTGGTCAAAAGCTGTTGTGATTGGGTCGCTGATTGTTGTGATCGCAACTTCTTGGAGGGACTGTGCAATGCATCCTTCTTAAAGATGGAGGCTTAAGATTAACTGATTTACCTGGGAACAGAGCCGTGCTAGCTGTTCCCTCCCCTGCTTCCAGTCTTTGTGCTAAGTTAAGCTAACCGGCTGCTGGCTGTAACTTCACATTTAACTTTGAGAGTGGTGTCGATCTCAATCTAACTCTTAGTATCTTGGTGAGAACCCAAATAAACGTCCAAAAATGTCACAACTCTTCCTTTTTTTTAAGTGGCACAAAGTCATAATGTGACCCGACTCCTTAATGGTGATGTTAACGCATGAATTAAGTGAATGTGTGAGTGTGAAGGAAGTAGGCTTTAGTAACACATATGGAAGGCACGTGTTCTGCAGCTTTCAACTATCCTGGCCCAACATTAAATGGTTTGCACTTATCAAGCCTGCTGGACGTATGTTCAATGGG